TGGAATCGTCCAGCATTCAGAGAAAATATTATGCCTTTTGTATTGAGCTGAAAAGGAGCACAGTTTGTCCTGTACTTCAGCTAGGATAGAAAAAGACACAAAGCTGGAGTTATTCTGTCTTTACGCTGTCAGCTGCCTCTTCTTCTCTTATTCTTTCCCCTCCCTCTCCTGTTTCTACTTCAATGAAGATGATCATGAAACTGATCAATGATCAGCTGATCGGCTTTTCTCTCTTGTTTGTTTATCGCCCACTTTGAGCCAGAAAAAGGAAACCAGCAGATGTCGCGTTAATCAACAGCTGCATGTTTAAGCTTGATCAGCTGTTGTTAGAATTTATTTAATATTAATTTCTAGTATCAGCTGATGTTTGCTGGAGCCACAGCTGTAAACCTGCTGGTCATGATATCGGTTTGGATATGTGGTGAGAGGGAAACATGAAGATGAAACTAGGAGATGTCCTTACTGAATCATCAGAGCTGAACAGGTGATGGAGAAACAGGTTCACCTTTTAGGTGACGTGAATGAGTTGAAGAGAAGTTATGAACTGTTTCTGAGAGACAAAAAACACCAGGATCCTTTTTTACGCTGACAGCTGGTAACTGTGCAGGGGCGGGTCTAGCAAAGTTTTGCCAGGGGGCCAGGTAGGGCATTAACAGGGAGAGGGGGGCACAAAGAAATATGTTCTTATTCTCATTAAAATTTCTCGCTTTTATTAAATAATTATCTGAAGATTACAACCAAAGTTTTTATCTGACGTAAAATGTATATAAATCATACATATACCAACAAGACTGTGTACATCAATTTCACAACAGTGTCTGTTTTCATTCAAAAGCTTTATGCCTTTTCCTGTAATACCTGGGGGGCCGGTCTCTAGTCAAGATGGCCATTTTTTGTCCCAGTCCAGCCTTGTGGGGAGCTCAGTCAGAACCATTATATCCACAATGATGTGTAAAACTGGCTGACACTTGTACTTTATATTTTTTGAATCTGATTTTTCTCTTCTCTGCTCTGATGCAAAATGGGATGATTCAAAGCTAAAGGAATTTCCCTGAGTCATCTTAAACTAAATTTGAAAGTCCCTTAGTCCAAAGTGCTTCATAATTCATAAAGACAGGGCTTATTTAGACCTGGCTGTCTGTAGTGTTCAGACTATAACTGACTGCAGTTTTCTGGGACAATTGTAGGCACGGTTTTGGTTTGTTGTGGGCTTCAGACTGGACAGTAATTAAAACTGAAAAAAATCCATCATTGAATAGAATTTTTAATATATATGTAACCAAATATTCCAGTTATTTTTAATTAAATGACATATGAAGAAAACTGAAAATATATACTGTGAATTAAATGCATAAAATAACACGAGAAATAGCCTATAACTCAGTAAATGTGAAGGGTTCTTTATTTTAAAGAAACTGAATTAGTACGTTTACATTGAAATATTATCTAAAAACTTAGTTTCAAATTTCACAAATAAGTCATATTCATTTAATAAATAAAACTGCTAAGCTCTAGTTGTAAGATACATATAGTTTCTTTTATATATATTTGTTTGTTAATAATATGTTGTGCAATTGTTAGGCAAGGTGTTTGTTTGCAAACGAAACTTTTAATTTAAAGTTTGATAATAAAAATAAAATTAAACGGATAAAAAAAATCAGCGATAAGTATTCAGAAAGAGCAGACTGACCTGTTATCTCTTAAAAAATATGCATGTGTGTTCATGTTATTACAGGATTCGGTTATTTCATTTAGTTTTGGAAAAGCATTCATTCCTTTTGTTCTGCAGCTGTATTGTGATGCAACCTTCCTTTAAAACGAAAACGCTTCACGTCTTCATAATGGCCTTGAAAAGATGGTTTCTCAGTAAAGAAAAGTAACTGTTTGCTTTCTATGTAACTGTGGTCATGCTGTGTGATCATGTGTGTCAGTTGTTTCGTATTCACAAAATCAAATAAATGCAAAATGAATCTAGAAAATATTTTTTATCAACTTCATGGGGAACGTCTTTTTTACCCTTGGCTATGTTTTATGTAAGTCAAAACGTATTGAATAAAGTCCGGCACACTGCTGTGGCTGTGAGCACAAAGGTCCTACTTGCTTAAATCTTCTGTTTATGAAGGGCAGCCAATCAGAACATATTTGACTTGAAGCTTAAACTGCTTGTTTCAGACAGCGGAGGATGAGCTAAATAAGGATTATTTTGAACTGTAAACCATGCAAAGCTGTTCAAGACAGATTAAACTGTTCGGTCTCAACAAAGCTATTTGGGTCAAACAAACAGGTGGACAAAGGAGGGGGGAACAACTAAGCTGTAGTGCCTCTTCACCTCACTGTGCAATACCTTTCGTGCAATACTTTTGTTAATAGTCAACGGTGCAATAGACTCCATACTTGAAATGTGCAATTCACTTGTATTTTTATTTTTATTCCTATTTATTCTATTTATCCCCTTCGTATATTTTATTTATATATGTCTCTGTATTTATTTATATGTGTGTGTGTGTGTGTGTGTGTGTATATATATATATATAATATTCTGTAACTGTAACTTCTGTCTGTGCTGTGCTTTTGGAAACCGAATTTCCCAGAGGAACCCACCCGAGGGATTAATAAAGTTTTATCTTATCTTATCTTATCTTAAACTAAATTTGCGTCACGTACATATGTCCCTCATAAAAAATTGATGCATCCACTGGTTTTGTGAATGTCATTGTTTTGAATATAAATGTTAACCAAGCAGGTACCCACATAGCAAAATTGGTATGGCCTGGATCTGGCCTACACAATGTTCTTACACAAGGCCCACATACCGCAAAGAATAACGGCCCTTTGGTGGCCCAGATCAGGTTTGCCAGAGGTGGCCCACACATGGGCCAGCACAGGGCCTGCAACTGGCCTCATGCTGGCCCATGTGTGGGCCACCTCTGGATTGAACCACTAACCTTCCTATCAGTAGGTGACTTGCTCTACCTCCTGAGCTACAGCCACCCAGTGGTAAACACCCTGCCATGACACCAGTCAGTCAGAAGTGTTTTTCTTGAATATTAACTATACAGTGTGTTATTGGTGAACGGAAGAAATGTACTTATGCTTTTAAATTTTGCAGTATTCGGTGCATTGATTTTTTTTCTACATTTTGTGTTTTTTCTACATGTTTTTGAGTTTCCCACATATAGATCTTTGGGTTTTGTTTAATTTAAAAAGATTACAAAAATGAACAATACAATACACTTAGTTTTCTTAAACTGATAACATGACTCTGTTGTACTCGTTCCTTTTAAATTATTAACTTATTGACATGGGAGACATGAATGAAAAGTTTTAGTTATTAAATATTTATAAATTTAATTATTAAACATTTTATTTTTATTTTAGTTAAATGGAACATGTCAACTGAAATCTAAATATTGGAGTGCTGATAGTCTTCAGCTTCATAAACTTAAAAAACTTAAGCTAATCGGTTGCTTTAAGTTTTTCTTTAATTCAGATAATTCCCTTTGAAATTCTCCAAAGGCACCAATAACACAAACAGAAACACAAACGAGAAGTCCAGTTCAGCTACTTCAATTAGTAGAGCTGAATTCATGCCAGCAAGCAGAGCAGTCGGGCCTCTAACTCTAAGCCTCAGGAAAATACAAATGAATAAGTGTTAATGAAATTCCTCAGGAAGTTGTTATGAAGGAGGGAAATGCCGCTGAGACCAAAAGTGCTTAGTGAATATTTTAACAATGGAATCTATATGAATTCACTGTTGAAGCGAGCCTCAAGTGACAGTGGAGGGAATGCAGTTTATTTGCTTGGCTTTTGTTTTAGTTCAGTAAAATGAATATGCATGCTCCCCTCGTATATTCTTTCTTACTAGGAGGTGATTATCCACTTTAACTTGTCAAATAAAATCATTAAAATCCTGAAAGATGGTCATATAGTATCAAACTGAGCCCATGACCAAGTCAAACTGAGTTACACTAAAACCTTCAGTTCACTTTATTTTTTATCTTTATTTACAGAACCATCATCTTACACTTAGGCTGCCATGACGATACTTCTGGGTTACTTCACCCAGTTAGGAACCTTAATCAGTAAAAGTGACCATTAAAGTGCAGCTCTGGAGGCCGCTGCTTGGTTTGGACAGTCTCAAATACTGAGCACTTTTTGTGATGGGAAGTTTTTGAAGCCAATGAGCAAGCACAAGATAACATGGCTAATCCTACTTTTTGAAACATGACCAACATTAACAAATTAGACTGCATTTTTATTTGGTATGACCCAAAGTGACAAAGAAGACAAGACAAGGAAGGGGCTGCAACATTGCAAAGCAATTACAGAGGTCAAGAAGAAGCCCTTTCCCGGCAGACCTCTGTAGAACTTTTGTACCAAAGCTATTACCATCTGGTGGCCTACAAATAAATAGAAGTTTAAGGCCCTTGGCTTCATTTTTCTGAACAGAAAGCTAGTTTATGTAGAAATACCAACAACACCGAGCTGATAACGCCAAGCATTTCAAGATAAAGTCTTAGAAAACCCAGAGAGAGCAGAGCATTACATCTCATATTGCACTTGTGTATCTTCTTGCTCTTCAGATGTTCCCTGACAGAACTTGTTGAATCTGCTTCCAGGGTTTATTTTTGTCAAATGCTTGTGCACTGAATTGAGCTACAGGTTGCAAGCGAGTTTTAAAACGCTGTGAAATCCCTTTATTGTGCTTTGGTCAGGTGACATAAGTGGTTGTGCGGCTCAATGAGTATGGCTGAGTACGTGTCTACTCCTTTTAGAGGATGAATACGTGCAGGCGGCTCCTGGAGAGGAGCCGGAGCCTTTGTGTCGCCGAATCGGCCAGAGAAAGAGAGAGAGGGTGTGTGGCCGAGAGACAGCGAGAGGGTTCCTATTGGCTGAGCTTGTGTGGGGAGGGCGGAGTTTGTCCTCACGTCGGGGGACAGGAGGGGGTGGGGGCTGCTGAAGACTGCCCACCTCCCTTTATTTTTCAGGAGGAGCAGAGAGAAGGAGGGATCGTCGGTACTCCTCTGCTCACGAGCGTGTGGCGAACCGACAGAGACCGGATCTGACAGCCGCAGCGCCCCCGCGCTTCTTACCCAGACAGGGTGCAGCGCTCTGAGGCTGGACTCGGCCGATAAAGCTCGGCAACCTCGGCGCGGGATTCGTGCTCGACCACCTGGCTCTCCTCGTCGCTCCGTCGTGTGAGGACAGATTTACTGAGCCGTTAACGTGGAGCGTCTCTCCCCAAACGCACAAACACTACACACAGGCACGCTTTCTGGACCGGAGACGATGCCACCTGCTCCTTCGTCCTCCGCTGACCTCTCCGCTCGACTCTGAACGGATTTCTGAATGGTTTACAAATCCGCTGGATTAGGATATAGAGCGACTGCGGCCAAGAACAGCAGAACAGTGGAAGTAACAGCGAGCAGAAGTTGAGACGCAGGTAAGGGAGGTTTGCACTCCGTGTGGCAGATCGAGCAGCAGCGGGCTGTGATGTGACTCAGGAGGGATCACAGCCAACATTTCAAATCTCTGATGTTACTGACGTGTAATGCTGCCTGTCGTGGATTATGTCTGTGATCGAGCGCGCGCGTGCCTAAGTCATCTCCATGTGACTTGATTGGTGGATAAGGTGTAATTGAGCAACATTCTTTTTCTCTGAGCCATGTTCAGACCCCCCCCCCCCCTCCCTCCCCAAACACACACACACACACGCACCACCATTACTCCTGTGCGCGCACACACATCACCTTCCACTTCTTCATGCTATTACTTTAAATTCGCAGTGTGCCTCTCGATGGAGCCGTTACACATTGTATCACGCTGAATAACATTCAAATCCTAAGGTCACGAACATCGTCCTAGTTTCTGCGTGGATGCATAATCCTTAAATAAAAAAGAACGCACAGCTGCTGTATACGCAACCGGCTCCACCAGACCTCTGCAGCGCGCTTTATTTCATATTTGAAGCTCTTGAACTTTGAGTACATTTGGAGTGCTAGCCCACTAAAAACAAACACAAAACGATTTTTAGTCAAATATATGACATGTTTTTGTCGTTCTTTTAAAATATGAGGCTTTGTTATAAAGTAAGGCACTGAGTTACAGACAGCCTGTGCTTGGACATAAAGTTAATTTGCAGCTATCTGAATTGCTTAAGCATTTTCTTTCTGTAAATTGCATTGCTCATTATTTTTTCTCGTTTTGAATAAATTAAATTTTTTTCTTTTTTCTTATTTTTGTTTTTTCTGTTTTAGTAATTTTACAGTTTGTATCAGACAGTTAATGTGAATATAATCTGCAGGCAATAATGAAGACATAGATACATCGGTATGATAAGGCTGACCGTGCATATTGTATTATTGATAGCGTCTTATTTATTTTATCTATGTGAGAGTCTGAATATTAAAGCATAGTGCTGCTTGAGCCTGTTAAAATGTCTTTATGACTATGTGCCCACTGACCTCTGGTTTGGCTGCACTGTGAATGGATAAATGTTCTGAAGCTGCTACCCTTGTCCTCAGTGGTTCATGGTTCATCTGAAACAGACTTGGGGAGGATCTGGAGAACTAAAATGCAACTTGGTTCACTACCAGTAACCAGAGGTGTGGCCAGATTGACCTGGACTGGCATAAATGAAATATCACACAGGTGGAATAAAGATTATGAAAGGGAGAAACATTTTATTTCAGGTATAAAGTTCAATCACAGCTGCTTTGTGTTAATATTTACAATTTTTTTAAAACTAAATTTAAGCTTATTATTTTCTTTCTTCTTCTTTTGGCCACTTGGGGTCAGTGCAACAGAAATTGTTCTGTATTTGGTTCAAGCTCTGGACTGAGGAATCGCTTATGCCTCTTTTCCACTAGTACCTTCCCAGCTTGACTCGACTCTGCTCGGTCTCTGTTGTTTTCCATTATGACTGAGCGACCACCTCAGTGCGCCTGGCTCATTACAGCCGAAAGTCCTGTGATGTCTTTGCTTGCAAAACAAATGCAACGGAACAATGGAGGACGTCTGGGTGTTTGTGAGTCGGTGACCATGGTGTCGGTCTTTGTGCAGCCATTTCTATCGTTGCCGAATTTCAAAATGAGCAGTTTTGATTTTTGGGAACAAGCCACTCTCATGACTCATCGAGTGACATCATTGATGGGTCAGTTGTTGGCTTGCAGTCTGTTGATCTCACATTTTCAGATCGACTCGGATCACTTGTGATTCCAGCCGAGCAAGTACTAAAAAAGAACCTGGTACCAGGGACTGCTACCTGATCGGAAACACTAACAAGTAACACAAATGGACCTGAGCCGATTAGGTGCTAGTGGTCCCAACACAACACCAGTCAAGATGGGGGTTTTTTTCTTTAAAAAAACAAACAAACAAAAGACCTGGGAGTGGTATGTTGAGCTGAGGGGAACTGCAGGATCAAGTGTTTTTTGCAAGATGCTCAGCTTTGTATTTTATTTTGTGACTTGCATGGAGTCTGGATGGGCATCCAGGCAGGACAGCAAGCTCTTCAACATAGTCTAGATGCCCATCTCCTCCTGTGGCGCTCATGAGGCCACATGAAATCCTGTTTTTCTCCTCAGGATTCTTTAGTCCCGTTCTTCCAGTTATTTCCCCAGAGCTCATGATTGTAAGTCAGGGAAAACCTACATTTTTCTAAATCTCCTCCTTTTTAGTTCTGATACAGAAACAGCATTACTGCCCATCCTCTAGTCTGCCTTGTGCACCTTTTAACCTCACTCTGGAACTGCACCCAGAGGCACCAGAAACATGATTTGTTTTGCTTCTTAGCAAAGGTAGAGCCCTTCATGCATCACTAGCAGTACTTGTTAATTTGTCCACAGCTGTAGCACATTCAGCGCCTGGTCAGTGCTCTTCATATGGGTTAGCGAATCTCAAACACACGATAGCTTCCAGCTGGTAACTCGTAAATTCCAACTCCTGACCCAATCTGGAACACAAAAAAAGCCTGTATTTGTCATAGTATGATATTGAAAACTATGGCGTCTACCTCTGGGATCCCGTTGTGACAGCTGTTACTTCTTTAAACACTTGGCCGCTTCTGCTTCCTTCTAATCTTGCTGCCTCCTTCCAGAGACACTGTCCAGTTTGCCATTTGTCCGATGAACCATGTCGTCAGTTTCTCTTTTGTTTGCGCTGTCCTCTGTGTTTGTTACAAAGGAGAGCTCCCAGACAAACTGGAGTAAGCGTTTAAAAAGTCCGACCTTTTGGCTGCTCGTGTCTCTGTCTGCCCACCGTCTCTTTTACCCTGCTTCTCATCTCTGTCTTTTTAATAAAACAGGTGAACTCTTCTCCTGTGTGTTTTAAAGAGCAGCATTTAATTATTCATCACTTGTTAGAAGGTTCTCTGTGCAGTGTGTGTGTGTGTGTGTGAGAGAGGCGCTAGCAGCAGTAGGACTTTGCTCCTGCTGCCTTCACTGACTCGACACTCCCATTCCCATCCAGGAAGTGGAGGAAAAATGTTGTTAACATATTTTCCAAAATCCTTCAAGAATATGTCTGGAATTCCTGATGACTACGTTTGGTTACGGCCGCCTCAGAACCATTTCACACTTCGCATCAAGCACTTTAACTTAATATCTCGGTTAGTGAGGCTAGTTGAGGGAACAGCAGGTATATTGAAGGGCACATCCTAACCAATATTAGCGTTGTAAGTCCATTTTGAAGATCTCCTGTAGGGAGATTAGTTTGTGCTCAATCTGCAGTAAATATTTTTGATAGGATGCCTCCGTTCTGGGAACTCTGTCAGTGGGAAAAACACCTCTACACTCTTTCACGGGCAAACATGAACAACATCGAGAGATTGATGATTGTCATCGTCACTGATGGTGATTACTTGTCCATCGAGGCAATTTCTTTTCTCTCTTCTTCACTCTTGCATTATTGTGAGATTCATAATAATAATCGCAGAATGTTACATTCCTAGAATATAACAGACCCCTACAACACAGACATGAATGGGTATTCATGTGCATGTGTGCGCTATTTCCCAGCAAAAGCATAACTGCCTGGAACGATATTGGCTGCGTAGGTGGTTACGTTGTAGCGAGGGCAGGGCAACATGGCCAAAAATGTTTCTCACGATATATATTTGAAAATTTGTGATAACGATAGAATTGATGATATAATTGCTGCGAGACAAAATACTTTTACAACTCCACAACTTTATTAGTTGTTGTACTCCAACGAGCGCTTCTGCTTCAAATGATGAAATAGGTTTGTCGTGTTTCCTCCCTGCGCCACGATGGCCCGCTTGCATGTACTACAAAAACTTGTGCTTTGTTGTGTATCTGACAGACGAAAACCAGACCAGTTCCACACCACTGAGGTTGCACCACTTTTACAAACCAATTCTGGTTCATCTGTTGCTTTCGCCCTTCTCATTCTCTGTCGCCGCCATGCTTTTTCTGCCATGTGCGTATGAAAACAAGGGCACTGCGCATGCACATTTATTTCACTTTCTTATCACTGCCTAACATTGTACTCATATTACCATGAAAGGTATAATATGACCCAGCTCTAGTTGTAGTTGTAGCCTCTACAAAGATCCTCGCAGAAGTCTAAATCAGGTATAAGAGAGGCAGCTGGTGGTGTTGGTGCTGAACATATAACTGTTGAAAGGTTTGGTTGTTGTTTGCATGCTCAGACACTATATATGTTTATCTGAGTTGACCTTAGGTGGGTGCTGCATGGGTCATCCTCTAGTGATGTGTGATTCTAATGAAAAGGCTCATTAGTCCGGTGAATAACACCAGTGTATTGATGTTCTCGAAAATGCTGCGACTCACTCAGCAGCTCAACAGGCTGAATAATTGCTGTTGTTCCATGCACACATATGATTGTGACCAGCGCATGATGTCATGTGACTCTGGTGACAGATGGCTGAATCTCTATTTAGTCATAAAGAAAGCCGAGGAGGACGACGAGGTAGCGGAGGATTTGTGTGGTAAAGAAACGAATAATGTAAATGAATAATGTTTACAAAGAAATGACAGCTGTGCCGCATTTATTCTGCAGGAATACCTGGAGAGTTTCAGGTGTGTACATTAGTGAAGAGCAAATGTTTTAGCATATTTTCATCAAAGAAAACTGTTATCCAGTAAGTTTCTGTCAGGACCTGAAATACACTGAGAATTAGAATTAGTGAGAATTTAAAATAAAATAAAAAATCGAACTTTGAAGATTGTCAAACCCAGTTATGGATGTTAGTTGAACATTTAAATAAATCAGTTCATTGATAAATATAATGTAGCATAGATTTATTGATTTTTTTTTTAAAATTGCTATTGGCTAATGATTATTTTCTTATTCTAATATTTGTAGCATATTGTGGATGTAGAAGGGCTGCTGAAGGTTACTCGTGCTTACTGGTAGGGCTGTGACCAAAGTCTCATATCCCGATATAAGACATCTATCGTC